TTTTTTTATTAAATTTAAAAATTACAATAAACAGCCTAAACAAAAGAATAAATTTATTAAAAATAAAAATAAAATAAAAAATAGAAAATAAAAATATTTTCCCTGCGCCAGGACCTGGGACCTCAGGCTAACCAGCGTCGCGAGCAAAAAGGCACACTTATGCCTTTCACGGGGCATGAATTGGCAGACTATCTCATCAACTGGTATGATGCTACTAGTATTTATACTAGTAGATGCTGATGCATAGCCTGACAACTGACATCTCGTAGGACATCGCAATGTTAAAAATACCAGTCGCTAACATTGAAAAAGGATAGAACATGAACTAGTTGAGCTGAAACGCAAATTGGTAGAATTCTAGTTCACAACTAGTAGCTTTCCCTGCAGGGATACTACTAGCACGAGGAAGACGAAATTATAAAAATGAACTTACTAAATGCGGAAAAGTACATTTAAACGAAATAATATACACATAAATAAATATTTAACAAAAACGCGATTTATTTGAATCAAGTTAAGAGAAACAAATGGTAGAATATCTGTTTGTGTATACATTCATTTGTCAGTGCTACCAAACCGTGCAGCCAACACAGCGGACCATAAAATGAACCAGATCTCTATCAGGATAACATCGTTGTTGCTGCATTTGCGTGCACATTTTTTATACGGATGCCGATCATTGTCCAAGGAAACACAGCAAATGTTTACGTAAAAATATAGACTCTGGTGGATGTTTACCCAGCAAACACATTCTCTAACATTAAAGAAAGTTTTCATTTTACATAACAATTAGAAAGTAGTTTTCGAATAGAAAATCAGGCTAGAGAACTATGTTAGGATTCGATTAGAGAATGATTAGGAAAATATTAGATATTAGAAACTCAACGTTAGAATACGATTAGATATCTAACATTTTTCTTCTCAACAAACTCTCAAATCGTCTTCTAATCTTTTAGCCTAGAGAGACACATTATAATTCGAATCGCTTTCTAATCGTTCTCTAACCCCTATGTTTGTTGGGTTAGCATTCATCATAATTAAAATAACTTGCAACATCTTATTTTGTCTCCGTTCGTTTGGCGATTCTATCAAACCGATGTCAAAACCAATAACAGCATTGGAGAGGTATTTTTCTGTAGATGAGGAGGGTTTTTATGATTTCCAAATTGGTTCAAAATTGTCCTTTAAAAATTTACGTATTTGCGTATAGTTGTTGTTGCAACCTGTTCAATTTGAACGGTTTTCGCATTTTTTTTTTACTTCGTATTTGAAGTGAAGAAGAAAAGATAAATGTAAAGATGAAAAAAGAAATTATAAAAAATGATGGCGGTAAAAAAGTGAAAGCGAAAATAACGATAAAGAAATACATGTGTGTACATATGCATGTACATAGGAATTAGGGTAACTGAAAGGGTAAGAAAAGTTATTGAAATTTTTCGATAAGAATCGAAATATGTATATCCAGTCATGAAAAATTTAGTTATCGAAAATTATCAAGTTATCCAAATTTATCGAGACATCCGAGATTATATGTAGTTATCGAAATCTTTATCGAGTTATCATAATGTATCGAGTTCTTTGAACTTATCGAGCTATAGATATTTATTGATTAATCGAAATTTGTTGGTAGTTATCGAAATTTGTCGATTTGTCGAATTCTAATTTTCCGAATCTTCAAAGTATATACAGGCCGATTCTGAAACAGAAACGCCCCGGGAGTTTTCTCTCTTTTCCCTTTCCTCCTATCATGAATCAAAATTCCTTGAGGATTTTTTATACTAAATGGCGGAGTTGAGCTCTAAAAAAGTGTCAAACTGCTTTTTCGAATGTCGAATTTAATCTTCCTAAGTTTTCGGGGAAAATGCTACTCCTGGGAGTTAATTATTGGGGGATTTATTTCTCGGGAGAAACAAATTCCCGGAGAGCAAACTCCCCGGGAGTATTAAGAATTAGCCTGACAGTTATAAAAATTTACAGAGTTATATAAGTTTATCGAGTTATCACTATTAGTCGAATTTTATCGGAGTACGAGTGTTTCAAGCTATCGAAATTTATAGAGTTAGCTAAAATTTATCGCGTTATCGAGATTTATTGAGCAATCCAGTGATGAAAAAGCACAGTTATGGAAATTTATCGATAGTTATCGAAATCGAGTTATCGATTGTAATCAAGTTGTCAGAATTTAGTGTTTTTAAAGTTCATAGAGTTATCAGACTTTTACGTGATCTAAGTGCAACGGAAAATAAAGAGGTTCCATTTGGGAGAAATACCATTTTAATGTCTGGTGATTTCCGCCAAATTTTGCCGGTAGTTCCCCATGGCCCTCGAGTCCCCCTAATTCAAAAATTGTGTTGACTTGATGCTTAATATGAGAGCCCTGCCACATGATATTGAGTTTGTAGAGGCTCTCAAATTACTTGGTGACCGAAAATTTTCCGTGAATTTGGAAAAGACACTATTGAAATTTCAAATAATATACATAATTGAAGAAATCATTGGGAATATTGGAGAACACATTCTTTCTGATATTATTTGGCATTCTGTTATACTTGCCCCAAAAAATTATAATTGCTCCCTTACCAATGTAGACATTTTGGAGCGTATGCCGGGATAAGAGAAGTCATATTTTAGTATTGATAAAATTATTTGTGATAATGTTCGGGATCATGACATATACCCTATTGAATTTTTAAACTCTTTAACTGGGAAAAAAAACTACTGCATTACTTATAAGCAATCTAAACACAAAGAACGCTTTGGTCACTGGTACCCGCATGCGTGTGAAACAAATGCATAAAAGGTCTTCAGGTTGTGAAGTTTTAACTGAAATTTCATGTTACTTGCGAATAATAGCCCCTGCATTCGTTTGTCCTAATCTAGCCTTCTCTTGCCCTTTTCGTCCCAGGTCACACGGTTTGCAATCATCCCCGCTTTTCGTTTAACTATAAACAAATCTCAGGGACAAATATTACCTCGGTAGCGGGATTCAGCTTAAGACTTCAATTAAATTTAAACCTCAAAACACGCATATTTTGGGGCTAAAACAGAGTACGTACCCGTGTGCACCAAGCTACATACATTTCAAGCTACATGAAAACTTATTTGTATTCACTGGGCTTGGCTCGACACAAGCAAGTAAATGCTTGCTTGCTTTAAAATCGTTGGATTTCAACTCATACACATAATTGATTTACTTCAAACATATCCAATTGTATGTCTAACGGGTTATGGATAAGTAGCTTGTGCATTCCAAGTGGCTTGTAAATTTTAAAAGGCTTGTATATTTCTAAGCAGCCTGTTTGCTTATTTTGTTGCATGTAGTAGCGCAGTCTTATTGCTTTGTCGAACGTGCGCAACACGAAGTAGCTTGTACGTGTGATGGCAGCGACGCTTTCACGACGTATTTATTTGTGTTCAAGCTATGAGTTGAATTGGCTTGTTTTAAACAAGTGTGAACCATACTTGCGCTTGTATTTTTTCAAGTAGCTTGAAAACGTAAATGAATCGGCTTGTGCTAGTGTACTTACTTATACTTTATGTACATACTTGTAGATAGAAATACATATGTATAAAAAACACAAGATAAATTTATTTTTGCATATGAGCACGTACCTTCAAAAATATTTTGGATAATCAAGTAACTTTGGGTGACCACAATCAGTAGCGAGACATGTGTCCAAGCAAACAGACTAAACTGTTTCATATAATACTTTTTCACCAGCGACAGCACAAACCAGACAAAACCGATGCAATACAATGCAAACGACAGAAAGCGATGATAGGTCACCAGAAACTTCAAATATTCCTGTTATAAATTAAAAGATAGATAAACGATAATAATAATAGAGGAAATACAAAAAAAAATAGTTGTAGAAATTAAAAAAAAAAATAAAATTTATTTAAAACAACGCCAACGTACCACACGGTTAATGACTACGCCAAAATAGTCGACCAAATTTTCACCATAGAAGAAATAGTTGGATGTCAACAGGAAATACCAGGACAAACTGCGGAACCAGGGTAGGCCATGTATGCGATAGACCTGATAGCCAATGGAAATGATCTCTTGGAAACATTTTACCTGTACAAGTAGCGTCTAGAAAGGAATAAAATAGTTTATACTTATAATTTCTCTTTTTGGCGTAGTCTTGATTTAGTTACCGTAATCATAAGCGCCAAAGGCCCACCGTATATGATAAGTGCAAACCCGCATATCATTATCCATGTAAAGATACCACGAATAACATAATTCTTCCATCTAAATCAAAAAAACGAAAGACGTTTAAGCGAAGTGCCAATTGAAGATAGAGCAATATGTACTGAAATGAAACTAGACATTCTCAACAATGTAAGTGTATACATTCAACATTTGCAAAATGTTTTTCTCTATTTTTATTTCAGAAGATCTTAAAACATTCCCCTTTTAATTGGATTCTGTTATATTTTGTTTCAATTACCTATCTGGAAGGTCCTTCAAAGCTGAATCCAAAATTTCCGGCGTTTTATCCGTTCCTTGAGGAAGAGTTTTGGATAGTTCATCTACAAATTTTTCCTCTGGTAATTTTTCTTCTTCCGAATCGACCTAGAATAAGATAAAAGGCAAATAATTAAATTCAATAACATTTATATTTACATATTCTTGTACTATGCATGTTTGTCTGTATGTAAATAACTGAATAAATTTAGTTTTAATTTATATACGCTCCCGATTTTACTGCGGATGTCCCAACTGGTATTTAATAACATTTTTAACGTCATTAATTACAACCTTTTCAACGGAAGTCTTATTAATTTGTTGAATATTCGGAAATGGATTCTCTAAGTAATAAATGTGAGTTGCACGGAAGGTAGTGTGGTGCTAAGTATCGAATGCTTAAGAAAATCCAGGGAGGTACTAAAAATAAAGTGTTGAGTATTGTGGGTAATGCATCCCTAAAGGAAGTACCAACCTGCAGTTTGTGCGTACCAACCCAAACCTATTCATAAAGAAGCTGCGAGCCCTCGAAACAGATAGAATAACCGTTAAATAGTGCACACAGGGTAAAAAATTTACAATTATCATTAAGTTTCATTAAAAGGTCTCCAAGATATGACGTTTTCTGAAAATTTAAGTCCCGTGTAAGTAGGCAACCCTACGTCATATCGGCAAAATATGCTGCATGTATATTCATGTCACCTAGACCTTCAATCTCTTCAACTTTCATCCAAATCTTTAGAGGTCGCGTACAGAGGTGGCCGTATTGACATGAAATGTCTCACTCAGAATTCATCGGTGAAGTAAGAAAAGAACTAAAACAATGACTTTTTGTCCTTATTCAGCGGACTTGTTGTTTAACTTTTAGTTCCGGTTTAAATAAGGTTAGTAGTAAACGTTCTCAACCACGGGAAGATGCATCAAAAAATCAGTGCGGTTCAATTTTTAAATATGCATGCATATGGGCTTCGAAAAATAATTGCAGACTGATCCACATATACATATGAACATTAGACTGCATCACTCCCCATGGAATTATAAAATAATCAATAACTGAAACTAAACTATTTCGATTTAGACTTGTGAGGTATCATTGGAAAGGTATTTTCTCACACTTTTTATTTCTTTGCTAATAAACTCATTCAAAGGATTAAAGAGAATGATGAGATGAACGAGCGTCATTCCGAGTTCAATTAAGATGTGTTGATATTAAAAAAAAAAAAAAAAAAGTTGGGACATGAATGACGCACAGAAAAAAAAGAGTGAGAAAATACCTTTCTACCGAGACCCCATAAGTCGGAAATCTCATTATTACGATTCCGTTGAAAAGATTTTTATGCAGATTTTTTAAACTTAATCTATTTTGCCAGCTGAAGGGATTCTTTTCAAAAAGTTCTTGAAGAAACTATTTTTATTCATAAAAAAACTCCATTTTTGGAGGTATTTTCACATCGGTCAAGCTCACGTAAATCTTAATAGTTTTCCGAAATATTTTGGTGGACGCCTTCAAACATAATAAATTTTGTTTTAATCCCGCCGAAAAAACCGAAAATTTTTTTGGTGATGCAGTCTTATGTACATACATACCCTCGTGGCCACGCCAATCTTACCACCACTTTTTTAAGTTTTTTTATTTTTTATTTTTTAATTCGCTACAATTTTGTAAATTTTTTATTATTTAATGTAATAAACAAAGTGAAAGCGATATATGAAGTACGCTTATTTGAATATTTAAATGTAAGCAATTAATATATTTGTTTACATTAACCCTCTTTCGACTTTGGTTCAGGTATGGTACGGTGAAGCATATAACAAAAGCTACATACATATGTATGTACGAATGCGTTGTGGTTTAGGGAGTTCAAATTCAAATTCTGTTATTGCAAGGTCATGTTGGTATAGAAAACATTCCCATACCCCTGAAAAGGGTCGTAGTTGCTTTGGCAAGAGAGGAGTAATAACTTATCTGCGTTGGGAACACCAAATGGAGCTTACTTATGGTGATTTCGTTTCTTTAAAAAAATGTTGCCCTTCCACGGTACAAAATGTATTTGATGTTATACTCAACACTGTAAAAGGGTATCACTGCAAATGTTGTCCTTATTCACACACGAAAAGAGAAAGGGGCAATCAAAAGATGACATTTTTGGGTAGAAACGAAAATACCATTAGTGTCACATGGTATTTCTACTTAAAGCTAATTAATTTGAAAATTAATTGCTTGCTCGCTTTATAGGATTTTCCAAAAATCCTGTTCAAAAAAAGACTATGCATGTAACATAATGATGCATTTAAGTTGACTTTATTATTTTAACGGTATATACATACATATATTTTATGACGCCGCTAATTCCACTATAATACTTCTAATATTGTCAGCACTAAACAAAAGCGTTGTCGGCCGCTGTGGTGCAGTAGTAAGCAGTGCGCGCTTCCATTCCGCAGCACCTGGGTTCAAACCCTGGTGAAAGCAAGATCGCAAAAAAATATAGAAAAAAGGTTTTTTCTTAACAGCGTCCCTCGGCAGGCAATAGCAAACCTCCGAGTGTCAAAAGCGTCAACGCTACGTCAAATGCAGAAATCACACCAACAATTAGCACAGATTTCTTTATGTGTAAAACGAAAATGACAGTTGCGCCGTTTTCTGCAGCCAACCTCAATACCTAAAGCCCTTTCAAAATCAGATTGTCCAACCGCTCAGCGTTGACGCCGCGTTGTTTCGGTATGCTTCATACAAATTGTATGGGTATGACAATTTGTTGACAGCCAGACAATGCTGACGCTCTTTTTTAGGTAGGGCAGTTAAATATATGCTCAAAATTATCGGTGATTTTTGATTTCTTTTTTGCTGACGGTCTTGTGTAGTTTTTTTTTCATGTACCGAACGCTTTTTATATGGAAAATATGCGCTACACCGCAAAGTGGTCGGACAAGGCATGTTTTACGCGAAAAAGGCATATTTTTAAACTGTGATAAAATTTCGGGTATTCAGTTTTGTAGCCCATTCAATTGTAGTATAAGAAAGTGCAAGTTTCGAGTCGTTTAAAATTACCGTTGATTTGTTAGATTTTTCTTTTTGTGGAGGGTGTTGCTGTTTTTTAACCGACTTCCAAAAAAGGTGAAGGTCGTCGGAATATTTTTTTTTGTTATGTATGTTATCGCACAAAAAAAAATCGATGACAGGTTCCTTTGACCAAGCCTAGTCTGTTATATGTTTTTGGGGTCGATGACAGAGAAAATCCAAGGTGTTTTTTGAGGTTAGGAAAAAATCTAGGCGTGACGGAGCAAAACGGGCTTCAGATTCGTGTTCAGCGACCAGAAACATGCAATAGACTAGGTTTGGTCAAACGAACCTTTCATCGATTTTTTTTTGTGGACCTGTGTAATATAATAATAGATTGGCGCTTACACATATGTTAGTGTTTGGCCGAGCTTCCCCTCCGAAGACGGGATAAAAAATTATTTTGCTCTTAAGCTAACAGATCCTAAAACCTTCTTCAATGATCATAAATGTATTAGAGCTGAAAGAGCATCCTTGAAGTAGCTAGGATTTTGCCTTTAATTTTTGGAACTTTTTTTTCGGTGTTACGCATTTTTTTCGTACAAAGTATGTTCGATAATATTTTTAAAAGAGAAGCAAATGAGATCAGCACATTATTATATTAAATTTTAATGAGCTACAAAACTTCAAACCAAATTTTTTTCTAAAGGTTCTGATTAAAAAGACGGAAAGTTCGTAGAAACTTTGCAGAATTAATTTTTATAGTTTTTTGCACAAAGTCGGAAATTTGGATTTACATATACGGTTTTTGTTAGGAAAAGAGTTTTACTTCTATAAAAAGAATACGAAACATAAAATAAACAAAAGAAAAATAGCCAAACGTCGCTAAAATGTAGAGTCCTAATTTATATTTGGGTCACTGTATATATTTTTCTATTCGAATCACAGGCATTCAGATTAGAAACTAATAACCAGGGTAGAAAAGTTTAAGATTTTGCTTGAAATTGCTTAGAATGAAATAGCTCTACAAAAAATTTAGCCGTTAGGTCTTAACAAAAATTTAAATTACTCGTGTTCAATTCTTGTTTTTCTTTTAATACTTATAAATGTGTAAAGGTCATTAATTTCTTTGTTAATTTTATTACGTACATGTTCACATTTTATCAAAGAACTGGGATTTGTGAAAGACTCTCATTCACCGCGGCTGTATTATTTGCTTAATATTAGTAAAACCTAGCTATTTAAGGATCTTCTAGAGATTCGGCCTATGTTGTAGTTCTTTAATTAACACAAAGAAATAATATATGCCTATCATAAAAATATTAAATTTGTCAAAGATATCTTGGTATTTTATCGGAGGGAGAAATTTAATGAGTTTCTTAAGATATATAAAATACTAATTAATATACGAGGGCAATTTGAAAAGTCAGTGGTTTTTTAAATTCCACGCGCAGTAACTTTAAATGCAATACTGCTCCGGTCAACTGTCATCGATTAATAGATCTCGTAAAATTTTCATCAAGCTGCGTCATTTACTTTTTTAAAGTAGACAACTTCGTGAATTTTAACGAAATTAGATCAAAATAAATTTCGAGTGCGATTAAGCATTATTTTTTGCGTACAAAATCCATTACCGAAGACAAAGAAAGGCTTGATAAATATTTACTATGCGGATTCTGCACCATCAATTTCAATAGTTGAAAAGTGGTTTATTGAGTTCCGTTGTGGTCGTACCAGCCAAGTGACTCCAAACGTTCAGGTCGCCCAAAAGATGCCGTCACGCCGGAAATTGTCTATAAAACCCATGGAATGATATTGAACGATCGGAGAATGAACATGTGTGAGGTGGCTGAGTTTGTAAGCACACACCACAATACCCTAGAGGCCAATGAACAGTCAAGAAGTGCACCAAAGAAGGCCCAAGTAGGTATGTCGGCCAACAAGGTCATGGCCACAGAGTTTTTGGGGATGCCCGCGGTGTCATTCACATCGATTAAATTGAAAAGACCAAAACAATCACTAGCGAATAATATTCACAGTTTTTGGACAGAGTCGATTTTGATTTGAAGCAAAAACGACCACATTTGGCCAAGAAAAAGTGCTGTTC